TGTAACTCTTTCAAATAAATAAATAAATCTTTTAAAAAAATGAGAGTCAAACAAATGCACCGTGTGTGTGAAAGTTTTATGTAATTAATTATAATGAGAGAACTAGCAAGCTGACAAGTGGCTTAAAGAAGGATAGAAGGGGATGGCGCTGTGGCATAGTAATTTAAGCCTCTGCCTACAGTGCTGGCATCCCATATGGGTGCTAATTCAAATCCCGGCTGCTCCACTTGCGATTCAGCTCTCTGCTTGTGGCCTAGGAAAGCAATGGAGGATGGCCCACGTCCTTGGGCCCCTGCACCCACCCTGGGAGACCCAGATGAAGCTCCTATCTCCTGGCTTCCGATTGACCCAGCTCTGGTTGTTGAGGCCATTTGGAGAGTGAACCAGTGGATGGAAGACATTTCTCTCTCTTTCTCTCTCTCCCTCTCTGTCTGTAACTCTACTTCTCAAATATATAAGTAAAAATCTTTAAAAAAAAAACAGAAGGATAGAAACACCAATGCATGTATAAGATCAATGAAAAACCAATAGTGGCATGTGATTTTTGAATTAGTTACAAAGCTTTAATTTTATATTCTTATAGGACAAGACAACTGTAGTTATTAGAGTTATCTTCTCTAATACTCAAAAAATAATTTGTATCTTAGTAGTTTTCTAAAAGAAAACACCGAATTTTACAGAGGTTTTTAAATGCTGGGATCCAACATAATAGTTGAGCTTCTGGCTCCTGGCTTCAGATCTGCACAGCTCCAGCCATTGCAGCCATTTGAGGGAGTGAACCAGTGGATCTCTCTCTCTCTCTCTCTCTGCCACTCAAATAAATAAATAAATAAATAATTTTTAAAAAAAGTAGCACAAAAATTGTATAAAAATCATCCCTTTTCCTGAGCTAATCCAGTGTGGATAGGTTTAAGGAGGAGGAGTTATCAGGAGTCTTTGGTACAGAGAGTGGGAAAAAAATCTACAAAGCATAAGAATATCCTGAATCAAGAACACTATGGAGTTCAAGTGCACAGCATCCTTTGTCTTTACACCTGCACAAGGTTCAGTGAACCAAAACTCCAGATAGCTATAGAGACGATAGAGTCTCTTTAGACTTCCATGTACATGGGATGATTTCATTGTTAGTAAAATGGTACCATCTTCCTAAGCCCAGCCTGGCTTACTAGAAGTCAGGTGACCAAATGGCCCAATCACAAGCATCAGCTCCACCCCCACCCTAATGGGATCTGCTGCTCCCACTTCCTGACCACTGCAAAGCTATAGAAGACCTGTTCTCCCAGTACAGGCTGCTGCTCTCTCTGTCAGGTTTCCCCCACCCAACAATAAACCTTCTCCCTTACTCCAGTGTTTGGTGTGTTTTGTGGTGGCCTTTCCTTTCATTGGTGCAGAAACCCAGGACCAGGCACTTCTGTCGACCTTGCTCTCCCCTCAGGGATGGGAGCTGCTTTGGGATCCTGGATTTCTGCCAACCACAAAACTCACTCCCGGAACTCCTTCTTCACCACCGAATGTTCTGAGATCTGCATCCACACACCGGCCCTCCAAAATTCCTGAGGTAAGATGGGGTGGGTTGGAGGATCCTCTCATTGTGACTCTATGGGTTGTGGTTCTACAGGACTTCACCCCGAAGTCCCAGTACCGGGCACCACAATCTCCCATGGGCTTTCTGCCTTTCCATGGGCTCTATGCCTTACCACCGGCTTTACCCTGGGTTTTGGCACCAATGAGAGGTCACCACAAAACACACCAAACACTGGAGTAAGGGAAAAGGTTTATTGTTGGGTGGGGGAAACCTGACAGGCTGTCTCCCCGTGCACAGAGAGAGCAGCAGCCTGTACTGGGAGAACAGGTCCTCTATAGCTTTGCAGAGGTCAGGAAGCGGGAGCAGCAGATCCCATTAGGGTGGGGGTGGAGCTGATGCTTGTGATTGGGCCATTTGGTCACCTGACTTCCAGTGAGCCAGGCTGGGCTTAGGAAGATGGTACCATTTTATTAACATTCATCACCTATTGTGATGGGGTGAACTATGTCCCCTGGATTTCATATGTTGAAGTCCTAACCCCCAGTATCACAGAATGCAACTGTACTCCTATTTGATAGGGTCTTTAAAGGTGTAATTAAGTTATGAGGATATTAGAATGGGCTGTAATCCAACATGACTGGTGTCCTTATTGGAAGAGGAGATTAGGACACAGTGGGGAAGACAGTGTGAAGACATGGGAAGCCAAGCAGAGAGATCTCAGAAAAAAGCAATTTTGTTGACACCTTGATCTTAAACTTCTAGACTCCAGGACTAGGAAAACATATATTCTATTATTTAAACTACTCAGTCTACAGTACTTTGTTCTGGAAATCCTAGAAAACTAATATAACTGGGTTCTGTCTTCAAGAGAGGGAGAGCAGAAGCAAGATCATCTGAGTATTCATGGATTCAAAATGCCCTTGCCTGAGCTATATATTAAAATGGATATTGGGGGCTAGTGCTCTGGCACAGTGGGTTAAAACCCTGGCCTGCAGTGCTGGCATTCCCTGTGGGCGCCGGTTCATGTCCCAGCTGCTGCACTTCCCATCCAGCTCTCTGCTTATGACCTGGGAAGGCAGTGGAAGATGGCCCAAATGCTTGGGCCCCTACACCCATGTAGGAGACCTGGAAGAAGCTCCTGGCTCCTGGCTATGGCCTGGCCTAGCCTAGCCCTGGCCATTGTGGCCATTTGGGGAGTAAACCAGTAGATGGAATATCTCTGTCTCTCTCTCTTGTCTATACCTCTCTATGTAACTCTTTCAAATAAATAAATAAATAAATTTTTTAAAAAAATGGATATCAGAGGCAATGTCTTTGCTCTGAGACATTTTCTCCAGGAATTGTGGAACCCAGATCTTTAGGGGTATCCATTGTCGTGAATTTTGGCCCATCTAGCTAGAGGCTCACAGAGTCCATATTGACTCCTCTCAGATCCAGCTAAGAACACCAGTACCTGAAGAAAAATCAGGGACATGATTTGGGGTCCTTTCTTTTCACTATAATCTCTTCACCCTCACATCCACGCCCAAGCCTCAGAAATAAGGACAACTCCCTGGTCTTAAGGCCATGTTTTTCCCTATCTCTCATGGGTTAAGGTAGAATGTAACTTAAAATGACCTCTATTGTCGCTCCCCCTCTTCGTGGAGGAACGACACAGAGTCCTGCCTAGGCTTCATATCCGAGTCACGGCACCATTATGTCGCTCCCCCTCTTCGTGGAGGAACGACACAGGACCCTGCGCTGTTCTTTCGTCTGCTCGGCCCTCCCCGGGTTTGCTGCTGGTTCTTCCCGGGTTGGCTACTATCCCTTCCACCTCCGTGGAAGGGCAGTTCCCCCTGGCCACATTCCCCACTTCCGCAGGGGAGCGGCACACCGCCGGCCGGCTCTTCTCGGGGGCTGCACGGGTGTTCCCTCAGCTAGATGTTCCCCATAGATGTTCCTGGTGCATGCCGTCTCTCTCCTCCTTTATAGTCCTCCTCCGCCAATCCTAACTCGGCTGCCCACACGCCGAGTACGCTGCTCTCCAATCAGGAGCAAGTCCTACAGTTTATTGGTTGAACTGGAGGCAGCTGTGCGGAAGCTGTTTACTTCTCTCCCAGCGCCATATTGTGGGAGAGCAGATGCATAGAATAAGTCTTAATTCCAGTAACTCAGTCTAGTCCGGTTTGCTCCCCACATCTATGACTTCTGTGAATGAAGGGTTAAAACCTTTGAATCCCATTGGGGTTCTTTTTTTAAATATTTATTTGTTTATGTGAAAGTCAGAGTTACATAGAGGGAGAGACAGAGAAAGAGAGATCTCGCATCCACTAGTTTATTCCCCAAAAGGCCACAATGGCTAGGGCCGAGTCAAGCCAGGAGACAGGAACTTCATTCACATTTCCCACAAGAAATGGCAGGGGCCCAAGCACTTGGGCTATCTTCCACTGCTGTTCCCAGGCCATTAGAGGAGAGATGGATTGAAAGTGGAGCAGCTGGGACACAAAATGGCATCCATATGGGATGCCAGCATTGTAGGCAGCCCCTTTTCCTGTTATGCTACAACACTGGTCCCAGAAGCCAAGAATTTATAACAACACTGGTCCCAGAAGCCAAGAATTTAATCCAGATCTTGCACATTTTTGATTTTTTGCTATCTAAGGCCTTGCCTATACTGGAGGTATTGCCTGTCCTGGTGCTAGCCTATTTCTAGAGGTAGTAAAGGTCTCTCCTATATCCATGCCTTTCACACACAAAGCAACCAATCCAGAGCCCATATCTCCAACAGCCAACCACATGTATAGATCTCTCCCAACCTGCCCTCATCATCGCAGGTCCAGGTAATAGACATCTAGAGACAGCCTCTATGAACTAGAGGCCATCAAAATTATTCAGACTAGCCAACCTAAACCTAGTTACCCTTTCTTGCTCATTTTTTCCCATGTCAACCACAATAAACACTTTGCCCAGCAAGTACCCCTTCTTTCTGCCTCCTGCCCAACCCAGTCTTTCCCTAAAAGCCCCTACACCCTATCCCCATGTCATCACATGCTCCTTCATCTTGGAACCTGCAACAATAAATATTTTCAATGGCAATTGTCTCATGATCTGTTGGCTTTACTAATACTCAAGTAATAATAAAAAATCTATATTAAAATAAGAAGACCTAAATAAGTGGAAACATTTACCAGAATCATGAATTGGAAATATTACAATGACATTCCTTGGCCCAAAATAGACATGCAGCAGCAACGCAATCCCAACAAAAACATCAACAGTTTGGGCAGCTTGCAATGGGCTGGTCTACCACGCATGTGGTAGCACCCTGCGAATACTTGAGTAGGACTAGGGTGGAGCTAACATGGGGTACTGGAGCAGTGCGAGGTGTTGGGCAGCCCCTGCGGTGCTCCTTCATGCTCAGAGCCCACCAGAGGCAAGAGTCATGGAAACAGGAGAACTTTGGTGTTCGCAGTGGCTCCATGCATCATTATGGAGGATGGCAGGAAAAGTAAAATGGGTCACTGATATTGAGAAGTCCATGCTAATCAATAACTTCTTGAAGAGAGGATGGGTACAAGTGACACAAAATGAGGATTGGAACTTTTCCTAGATTAGGATGCAGACCATCTGGAATATGTTCCGTGTGGAAGTTGGCTATAGGCTCACAGGCCATCAGATCGTCAACCATTTCCTGAACCCCTACGAGCTGACCCTGAAGGACTTGGTGGTGAAGAACATCAAGAGGTTCAGGAAGGTGCTGGAGAAAGAAGAGAGTCCCCTGGCAGAAAAAAAGGACAATGGGAAATAGATCCACCTGGCCTTCCTTTTGTTCACTTATATGCTGCCCGAGCACTATGCTCTGTTATCAAAGAAGTTCTGGAAGAGCCAGTCCAGTACCTGGATCATGAAGCCATGCAGCAAGGCACAGGAGAAGGGTATCTTCCATCAACAAGCTCTCTGACATCATGAAGTGGCCGGGGACAGCAAGATGTCCTCGCTTGTGTCCCAACCTACCAAGGAAACCTACATGATCTCCCTGTACATTAACAACCTGTTGCTCAACAGGGCAAGGAAATTTGACCTGTGCCATCCCTTCTGGTGTTCACGTACCACCACTGCACTAGTACATGTACAAGCTTGGCTTCTGCCGATTCTGCATGGTGTACACCCCAAGGACCAGTGAGCTACACAACATGTTCCTGCATTGCACCAGTGTGGCTATTCAGAAGGACTACAACCACATTCACTGGGCAAGGGGGCTGTGAGCAATCTGCATCTGTACCTGGTAAGTACCCACGACAGGGAGGTGACCAGCAAGCTGTCTGACAAGGTCCACTGCACCATTGTGCAGTCCCTGAAGACTGTGGTGCCAGTGGTGAGCAATGACAAGCACTGCTTTGAGTGCTATGGCTATGACATCATCGTCAACGATGAGCTGAAGCCCTGGCCGATGAGGTTAACACATCCCCATCTCTTACTTCCAGCACCACCAACGGCCAGATCCTTAAGTACAACCTGATTCATGACACTCACATATTGTGGTCCCCAGTGGTAAAATCCCAGATTTCAGATGGAACAAGCCTCCCTCCTCTCCCCTCTCCCACCACACACACAAAAAGAAGTCCTTGGCAACTGTGAGAGTCTATACAACAAGGGGCTGGCCCAGGGCGATGGGGCTGACCATCAGCTGAGAAGTCATGCAAACCAGTCAGTGGGGCCCAAGGGGAGCCAATCCAGAGACTCAGGGAGAACTGCCCTCAGTACCTGTAAGTGACCATGAGGAGAACAACAGACCCTCCCCTGGGCCTTCTCAACACTCCCCTCTCTACTTGAGCCCCTGCTGAAGTCCTGTTTGAAATTCCCTTTTGCTAGAGCTGGGTTCCTTCCCCAAGCCCTGTGATGAATAAACGCACTTCACTGGGGACAAAAAAAAATCAGGAACCTGTGCTGTGGCACATCTGGTTAAGCTGCCACCTGCAGTGCAGGTATTGCATATGGGTGCCAGTTTGAATCCAGCTGCTCAGCTTCCAATCCAGCTCCCTCATAATGTGCCTGGGAAAGCAGCAGAAGATGACCCAAGTGCCATCTCCCATGCTGGAGAATAAGAAGAAGCTCCTGACTGCCAGGTCTTTGCAGCCATTTGGCAAGTATAACTCTCTTTCAAATAAACAAATGAATCTTTAAAAAAAAACAATGGTGTGTGTGTGTGTGTGTGTGAGTGAGAGAGAGAGAGAGAGAGAATTGCCATGTTATTCCTAAAATTTATGAGGAAAGGCATGAGACAGGAATAGCCAAGGCAATCTTGTCTTGGATGACTTACACCAGCAGATGTCAAGACCTATTACAAAGTAACAATCAACTCAAGTAATACTTACACAGAGATAGACAAATTGACTAGTAGAATTTAACAGTGATTCCATAAAAGAAACTCAAAGAGATATGGTGACTTGATTTATGACACTACAATGACTCATAGTGCACTGAGAAAAGGATGTGCACTTCAATAAATGGTGCTAGGTAAATTAGATGCACAAATGTCAAAAAGTGAACTTTGACCCCTATCATACCTGATACATACTAATTAATTCCAGATGAATTCCTGAGCTAAATGTCAAAGGTAAAACAGTAGAACGTCAGGCTGGTGCTGTGGCAAGGTGGGTAAAGCCGCCACCTGCAGCACTGGCATCCATATGGCTGCCGTTTCGAGTACCAGCTGCTCTACTTCCAATCCAGCTCTCTTCTATGGCCTGGGAAAGCAGTAGAAGATGGCCCAAGTCCTTGGGCCTCTGCACCCACATGGGAGACCTGGAAGAAGCTCCTGGCTCCTGGCTTTGGATCAGTACAGCTGCAGCCATTGCGGCCATCTGTGGAGTGAACAAGAGGATGGAAGATCTCCCTCTCCCTCTCCCTCTCCCTCTCCCTCTCCCTCTCCCTCTCCCTCTCCCTCTCCCTCTCCCTCTCCCTCTCCCTCTGCCTCTCTATAACACTGCCATCATCAGAGTATGGGATTTTGGCTGTCCCACATTCTCACACATGCTTATTATTTTCTGTGTCTTTGTAAAATGTAGCCATTCTTGTGGATATGTGTTAGTATTATATTTTTTTCATTTTGTTTTTAAAGATTTATTTATTTGAAAGTCAGAGTTACACAGAGAGGAGAGGCAGAGAGAGAAAGAGAGAGAGAGAGAGAGAGAGGTCTTCCATCCACTGGTTCACTCCCCAATTGGCCACAATGGCCGGAGCTGCACTGAGCCAAAGCCAGGAGCCAGCTTGCGAGGAAAGATGAAAGAAAAATGAATAGTTAAAATATGAAAAAAGCTCCACCTTACTGGCAATCAAAAAAATGGAATGAAATAAATTATTAGATACCAATTTTGCCTATCAAATAGTATGGTAAGACTGAGCTTCAAAAAATTCATGAAGGGGCCAGTGTTGTAGCACAGCAGGTTAAGCTCCTACCCATAATGCCGGCATCCCATATGGGCACCATTTGAGTCCAAGATATTCTACTTTTTTTCCAGGTCCCTGCTAATGTGCCTGGAAAAGCAGTGGAAGATGACCCGAGTCTTGGGCCCCTGCACCCATGTGGGAGATCCAGATGGAATTCAAGGTTCCTGGCCTTGGCTTTATCCAGCCCCTGTATCTCCCACTCTGTGACTTTGATTTTCTTATTTTTAAAATTTCTTTTATTTATTTGAAAGGCAGAGAGAGACTGATCTTCCATCTACTGGTTCACTTCCCAAATGGCCATAACAGCAGGGGGTGGACCAGGTGAAAACCAGGAGCCTGGAACTCCGTCTGGGTCTCCCACATGGGTTGCAGGGGCCCAAGTACTTGAGCCATCATCTGCTGCTTTCTCCCAGGCACATTAGCAGGAAGTTGGATGAGAAACAGAGTAGTGGAGACTCAAACCAGCGCTCATATAGAATGCCAGCACCACAATGGTTTAACCTTCTGTACCACAAGGCCAGCCCCAACTCTGCCTTGCAAACAAATACATATACCTTTTTTATAAATTTCATACAAATGCCTGTTACGAACATATGTAGATTTCTAATTTCTTTTGGGACTGAGACGGAGACGGAGACAGAGACTGGGACTGTCCCTGCCTTACGATGCTTAGTCAGCTTTGACTAAGGAGAGAAATATAAGGGCGGAAAAGGAACTCACTGACACAGGAACATTCTCCCGTGACTCAGGGTTTAATGCCCTGGCAAGGACACAGAGAGCCGGCAACAATCCACGACTGGGGTGGCTGCCTGAAGCTTGGGAATGAGGGAAGTGGGGAGGACAAACAAAAGCCACCAATGAATGAAGTGAATACGCCAGAAGTGAATACGTGTTGGTGAAGGTTTCTGAAAGTTGAAAATTTCAGAGATGTGGAAATACCAGAATAGAGTTACAATGTGAGACCAGACAAGCCGCCACCTGACCATGATCCCTGCGAAGGCTCAGAAGAGATTCCTTCACCATGACTGCACTAGGAAGCAGCCATACCAGCTTTTTTTCTTTTACAGGCAGAGTGGACAGTGAGAGAGAGAGAGAGAGAGAGAGAGAGAGAGAGAAAGGTCTTCCTTTTCCGTTGGTTCACCCTCCAATGGCCGCCATGGCCGGCGCACTGTGCTGATCCGAAGCCAGGAGCCAGGTGCTTCTCCTGGTCTCCCATGGGGTGCAGGGCCCAAGCACTTGGGCCATCCTCCACTGCACTCCCGGGCCATAGCAGAGAGCTGGCCTGGAAGAGGAGCAACCAGGACAGAATCCGGTGCCCCGACGGGGACTAGAACCCGGTGTGCCGGCGCCGCTAGGTGGAGGATTAGCCTATTAAGCCGCGGCGCTGTTACCAGCTTTTAAAATAAGATGATTACATGGGGCCAGCATCCCATATGGGCGCCGATTTGAGAGCTGGCTGCTCCACTTCCGATCCAGCTCTCTGCTGTGGCCTGGGAAGGCAGTAGAAGATGGCCCAAGTCCTTGGGCTATTGCACCTGCATGGGAGACCTGGAAGAAGCTCCTGGCTCCTGGCTCCTGGCTTCAGATTGGTGCAGCTCCGACTGTTGCGGCCATCTGGGGAGTGTACCATCGGATGGGAGACACCTCTCTCTCTCTCTCTCTCTCTCTCTGTGTGTGTGTGTGTGTGTGTATGTAACTCTTTCAAATAAATCTTTAAAAAAATATGATTACAGGTGGCTTCCTGCAGACCAGTATTGCCAGTAGGAGATGTTACAGTGGAACTGAGACCCTAGTATCGATGGAGATGAGATTCCTGAGCATATCAGCCAAATAATTATATTTAGCGGACCTAGGAAAGATAGAAGTATGCTAATTTCCTTGGGCTAAATTGTTTCCATTCCCAAAAAGTCCAATGAGGAAGTCCTAGCCCCTAGTACCTTGGACTATGACTATATTTGGAAATGGGGTGTTTAAAGAGGTAGCGAAGGTAAATGAGGACATTAACATGGGGCCATGCTGTGGTTTGAATGCGCTTTCCAAAACTCATGTTGAAATGTCATTGTCATTGCAATGGTATTAAAACACGGGTTGTTTAAGAGGTAATCGCCTCTTAAACATGTCATGAAGGTTCTGTTGTTACAATGAGAGTGGATTAGTTATTATAGAAGTGAGTTCTTGGCGCTGGCACTGTGGCGTAGTGGGTAGGGCAGCCGCCTGAAGTACTGGCATCCCATATGGGTGCTGGTTTGAGACCTGGCTGCTCCATTTCTGATCCAACTCTCTGCTATGGCCTGGGAAAGAAATAGAAGATGGCCCAAGTCCTTGGGCCCCTGCACTCACATGGGAGACCCAGAAGAAGCTCCTGGCTCCTGGCTTTGGATTGGCACAGCTCCAGCTATTGCAGCCATTTGGGGAGTGAACCAGCTGATGGAAGACCCCTCTCTCTCTCCCCCTCTCTCTCTCGTGTGTGTGTGTAACTGACTTTCAAATAAATAAATAAACCTTTTTTTTAAAAAAAAAAAAGTGAGTTCCTGACAAACAAGATGAGTTTGACTCAGTTTTTTCTTTCTGCCTTGCACATGCTTGCTTGCCCATCTGCCATAGTATGACACAGCGTGAAGGCCCTTAGCAGATTTCAGCACCGTGGTCTCGGACAACTCAATCTCTAGAATCATAAGCCAAATGCATCTTGTTCTTCATAAATATCCCAGTCTAGGGTGTTCTGGTTATAGCAGCAGGAAGCAGACTAAGACATTCTTAACCCAATACGACAGACGTCAAATAAAAGAGGACATTAGGACATTGAGAGATGTGGAAGGAAGACCATGTGAGAAACAAGGGAATAAAGAGCCACCAACAAGCAAGGAGGCCGCCCTCGGAAGAAATCAACTCTGCTGATACCAGATCATAGGTCTCTCGGCTCCAGAACTGGGAGGAACTACATTTCCATTGTTGATGTCACCAAGTCTATGCTACTTTGCTATGGCAATCTAAGTAGACCAATAGAGGCCATAAGGCTAGAGTAGCACTGAAATTCCTTGAGTTAAAAAGCTGTAGCAAGCTAACAGACTAGGTGCTCTTAGGGTCAAGTGAGATGGATAGCCAACTAGAGTGATAGGTGACTCCTACACTCCCTGGAAATTAAAGCTGGGGAGCAAAAGGCTGAGGTCAGCCACTGCAATGGAAAATCGTGATCTCTCATCCAGTTTCCAAATCTGAGTCAGTTCACAGAGTTAGTTGGGAAACTGAAGGGAAGGCCAGGCTCCTTTGGGGAAGAGCTCTGCAAGATTACTGAAAGTATATGAAGGCTAGAGGAAAAATTGA